AATAATTCCTTGTATTTTATATTTTAAGTCATATGCAAATTATATGATTAAGAGAATTCCAATTTTTGGATTTTAGAAGTAGACAATGAGTCCTCTTGATTATTTTCTTGCTTTAAGACCCTTAACAATCTGAAAACTAAAAGTTATAACTCAGCAATACAATATTCAAAGATAAGAGGTCAAATTTTTTACCTGTCATTACTCACCTGTCATCTGTCTCAGATGGTTCCAGAAGATTAAACTCAGAACAAGTAGTTGGACCATTTAAAATGTAGGTATATACTGTATAAACAATAGCCTCGGAGTTATAATTACTGTTAATAATGCATAGACTAAATACAATAGGACAAGGAATACCCACCTTCTAACGATGACGATACTCGCGCTCTCGGTCACGCTCTCGGTCTCGGTCCCGATCTCGGTCACGGTGTCTCTCTCTTTCTCTGCTTCTCTCTCTATAATAATCATCATGACGATCTCTACTGCGGGATTTATGGCGCCGACGCTTTTCTCCTGATCTACTATGGTCCCTCTCTCTTGATCGTTCACGTCTTCTAAAAGAAATTACTGGATTAATGCTCTCCATATTGGATAACTTAAAAAGATTTTCAATATTTAGTGTTTGGGGACTCTTTCCCCTTCCCCACGTGGGAGTCTGTGCTGTGAGATTCTTTCCCCTTCCCCGTGTGGGAATCTGTACTTGTTCTTCAATAAATTTCCACCTTTGCTATAATAAAAAAAAAAATTCTGGTGCTTAAAAATCTCTAAGGCAAAAATAAATTTTATAGGCCTATTTCAGACTTACGATATCTTGAACATCAATGATTTACCAACACACCTATAATCATGAACTAGAATTCCCATTTTTAAAAATACTCACCCAAATATTGGGAACATGGCACACATCACGTTTTATCTATTACTAGACGCCCGGTGCACAAATTCAGGCACAGGTGGGGTCTGGCCAGCCCACCCAGATGGGGGCCCATCGGGCCGGGCTGGCGGGGGAGAGGGGTCATGGGCAGTTGGCTAGCCAGCCCCACCCCTGATCGGGGTGTTGGGGCTGATCAGGGCCTGGATCAAGCTGGTTGGCTGCCACAGTGTGCGTCATAGCCACCGCCATTCTGGTCGCTGGGTTTTTATATACATAGATAATTTGTAGTCTAAAATAGACATGTATTGTTCACCGAATAATAAACAGGAAGGTAAGCCCTAGCCAGTTTGGCTCAGCAAATAGCGTGTCGGCCCAAAGACTGAAGGGTCCCAGGTTTGATTTAGGTTAAGGGCAAACATCTTGATTGCAGGCTCGATCCCCAGCCCTGTCAGGGCTCGTGTGGGGGGCAACCAATTGATGTGCCCTCTCCCCCTCCCTTCCACTCTCTCTAAATATCAAAGGGAAAATAGCCTCGGGTGAGAATTAACACAAGTAAACAAACAAACAAACAAACAGACAGAAAGGTGAAAGAGAAAAGTTCAAAGAACTTCTATTTCAAGCTAAAGAACATACAGAAGGTAGTTTTGTAGATATAAAATTCATGAAATCACTCAATATACAATGGGACTTAAATATAAGAAATTACCACCTATTGCCTGGCTGGTGTGGCTCAGTGGATTGGGCGTCATCCCATGCACCAAGAGGCCACCAGTTCCATTACCGGTCAGGCCCATGCCTTGGTTGCAGGTATGATCCCTAGTACATGGATATGCGGGAGGCAGCCGATCAATGTTTCTCATTGATATTTCTATCTCTTTCTCCCTCTCCCTTCCTCTGTCTCTAAAATCAATAAAAACATCTTTTTTAAAAAAGTTAAAAAAAATTTACCACCTATTAACACAGGTTACCTAAACCCATACATAAATATCAATTTTACCTCTATAACTAAAAAATGTCACTCCTCTAAGAAACTTTCTAATAATATATACATGTTTGTTGGGAAGGCTGAGAAGAGTGGTGGGAAGCAAAGAAGAAAACCCACTAATTACGACCACTAGTAAAGACTGGGATATTATTCACATTGTTACTTAATGAAGAGAAATGTTTCATGAACCACTTAAAAAACAAACCACAGGTAATTTAACCAAGTATGCTGCCTAAAATACTTTTAAAAATTTGAAATTCATTATTAGGTGCTTATTTTGGACTTAAAATGTTTAAAAGAAGACCGTATGAGATATGGTTTTTAGCTATGACTAATTTGTTCAGATACAAAAGTCCTTACAATGGGTCAAAATGTAATAATTATAAAGTAGGGGACCATGACTATGACAATCTTTTTCCTTAACTTTACGAAAAAGATTCTACCACCAGATAAATTATACAAAAGACAGATCTCAGAGTATCATGTGAAGATTAAAGATCTACCATTAAAAAGTATGAAAAATTTCAAGGTAAGCAGTAATGCTAAAATATGGAATTACCTAATTAAAAAACTAAGAATAGATAATCCATTCATTAACTCCCTTGTTCAAGAAACGTTTACTTAACACCCATTCTGTATATTCATTAGAAATATTGTAGTGACAGCCACTATGGAAAATAAATATGAAGGTTCCTCAAAAAATTAAGAATAGAGCTACCATATGACCCAGGAATGAATCTCTCTCTTCTGGGTACACCAAAAAAAAGTTAGAAAACATTTATTTGTAAAGATATATGTACCCCTATGTTCATCGCAGCATCATACATGGTAACCAAGACATGGAAAAAACCAAGTGTCCATGGATGGATGACTGGATAAAGATATGGTTCATAGATACAACAGAATACTACTCAGCCATAAGAAAGGATGAAACACTATTCACAACAATATGGATGGATCTTGAGAGTATCATAGTAAGCAAAATAAGCCAAACAGAAAGGACAAGAACCATATAATTTCACTCATACATGGGATATAAAACAGAAAGCAACAAAGGAATAAACAAAAAACTCATACATAAACAACAGTATTGTGGTTACCAAAGGGTAAGGGGGTGAGGGGATTTTGAAGGTAAAGGGGTTCAAATAAATAGCGGTAAAGCGAGACTAGCCCTAACCAGTTTGGCTCAGTGGATAGAGCATCAGCCTGCGGACTGCAGGGTCCCAGGTTTGATTCTGGTCAAGGGCATGTACCTTTGTTGCGGGCACATCCCCAGTAGGGGGTGTACAAGAGGCAGCTAATAGATGTTTCTTTCTCATCAATGTTTCTGACTCTCTATCCCTCTCCCTTTCTCTCTGTAAAAAATCAGTAAAATATATTTAAGAGCAAAAAAAAAAACCAAAAATAGGCGACTAGACTTTTGGTGGTGAACACACAATGCAATATGCAGATGATGTTTTATACAATTGCACACTTGAATCTATGTCACCCCAAGAAATTTATTTTAAAAAAAGAATATTGTAGTGAATAGGATGGGTAAGGCCCCTTCCAACTTTCAACATGTATAGTGAAAATAAATGTGAATTAATAATAAACAGGAATAGATTATAGTAGTACTATGGAAGCAATAACAAAACCTGACAAAATGTCCTGGGAGAAGACTCCTGCTATAAGTTAGACTGAGTTGAGGCATGAAAAATATAAGCCATGCCCTGGCCAGTATGGCTCATCTGGTTGAGCAGTGTCCCATATGATGCCTGATCAGGGCATATGCCCAGGTTGCAGGCTCAATCCCCAGTAGGTGGCGTGCAGAAGGCAGGCAGCCCACGGCTCGTGTGTGAGTGTGTGTGTGTGTGTGTGTGTGTGTGCGCGCGCGCGTGCGCTCTCCCGCCCCTCATCAATAAAAACATTTTTTCAGGAAAAGGGTTCCTAACAGAAAGAATACCAAGTACAAAAACAGTGAAATGATCAAGTGTAAGTATAATCAAAGTTCTATTTTAAAGTCCCAAACATATTTTTTCCATATGTAAAAGTAGCAGGTTTAAATAGAAATGAGACAGGAAAGTTTTACCTTGATCCAGAACCATAAGACTTGGATTCAATTCCATGAAGGCAAAATTGCAAAGAGCTAATAAGAACTTTGCAACGATCATCAGCAGATACTTTGGATTGTTTAATTAAAGAAATTGCAGTTACCAATGTCTCAATTGCACTCCCATAATCACCTGTGAGGGGAAGAAGAGGGGTTGAAGTCAAATAAATTTTATTTTCAAAATACCACCAAATCACCTCTGCAGTAAGAGTATAAATATAAAGCAGTTTACACAAGGAGTGAACTTTAAAATGACCACAGAAGATTTCTTTTTTTTTTTTTTTTTTTTTTAGTATTTTACCATTTGCAAAAGGCTTTTCTGTGCATAAAATTAGCAGTTTTTGGTTATTAGTATAGCTATATGAAGCACGTTACCATTTTGTAAATATGATAATAAATGAGTGGTCCTAAGGTGCCTCAGTCATTAAATGTCAGGGTTGAGATTTAAATCTACATCTAAAAATTTTAAATTAGGGGCTTTTCCATTACACTGTGACACACAGCTTTCTTCAATACCTTTTAAATAAAGGAGAGAAATTGACTTGGGAATATATAAATAACTACTATATAGAAACGATCATTCATAATAACATAATTAAGAAGTATTAATACAAAAAGAAATACACAAACCAGCGCTGGCATCAGACACGGCTCTTGAAATAGCACTGCTTGAGATTGCCCTATTTCTATTCATGATTTCTTCAAACTCAGCTTCACTCAGTGGAGTTCTTGCCGTATCCATTTCCCTATAAAAATCAGAATAAACTTTAACTCATACACAACAGATTTCTAACTTAGTCTTAACAGTACATAAAGCAATTTATATTGGTTGTTTTGACAAGTGCCTTAGAGCAAGTATTTACTTTTCCAAATTGAAGCATGCTATTTTCTCCTAGTAAGAAAGCAAATCTAATAAGCAAAATTCTCTAATATCACGATCTTACAGATAAAATGAAGTAGCAGCTTAGAAATCTTCTTTGTGGAGGCCAGAAATGATATATTTACATATCTACAATATAACATTTTTAATTCTCACAAAAAACAGGTAAGAAATTTTTTGATGAATACACACGCAAAATGTTGACTGCAAAAAATATAGCCTACACAATCAAGGACAGCAATTTGGTTTCATTACGTTTAGATACTCCAGGCAGAGGGCCCAACTCACAAATGAAGGATAATAAATGTCTGATTAATAGAATTTCAGGCAAGACAAGACTGTAGACTATCCTGTTTGCCACTAAATCCTAGAAAAGTATCTGGAAAATAAAAGGTGCTCAGTAAGTGCAAATATTGGTTAAAAAAATGAGTAAAATGCCAACAAGATTTTCTAAAGCTGCTTGACAACATTGAAAATTGTACATGTAGCCCTAGCCAGCGTGGCTGTTAGCTGAGCATTGTCCCATGCACTGAGAGGTCACCGATTCAATTCTGGTCGGGGCACATGCCCGAGTTTTGGGCTCTATCCCCTCTAGGGGGTGTGCAGGAGGCAGCCCATTGATGTGAGTGATGTTTCTCTTTCATCGATGTTTCTATCGCTCGCTCCCTCTCCCCACTTCTCTCTAAAAAAAAATCAAAAACATATTTTTTTAAAAAATATATGAAGGAAATGAATCCCCAGGGATTTAGCGACCTGCACAAAATCACATAGCTACGCAAGTAGCAGAGCTGGATTATTCCCAACCCTGTTCTGTGTATATTTTACCATACCATACTGCCTTTTATAATAAGAAGAGAAAATAACACAGAAAATTAAGTATCTGGGGAAAGACCATAACGTTTTAAAAACTTCAATGATGGAACGTAGAATATCTTCTACAAAATATACCAAGTCTACATTCAAAGATACATACTAACTTACCTTCCAGGAGGCCCATAGTCACCCCTATCATATGGCGGAGGTCGGCCATATGGATCTGTTGGTGGTGGACCCCGACTATCTGATGTAGGCATGCCGCTGTTAGTTGGTGGAGGAAAGAAAGCTGGGTTCACATGTGGAGCTGGCGGTGGGGCACCTGGAGGTGGTCCAGGAAGATGCGGAGGAGGAGCAAGTGTAAGGGGTGGCCCAAGAGGACCAGGTGGACGAGGTGGAAAGGGGCCTGGAGGTGGAGGTGGTCCCTGTTGTGGAGGTGGTGGACCAGGAGGGGGGCCGTAGCCTGGAACTGGAGGTGGAGGACCAGGAGGAAGCGGACCCAAAGGAGGCTGCCCAAAAGGTTGTCCAGGAAAAAGAACTGGCGGTGGAGGGCGATCTCCTCGATTAGGAGGCCCAGCTAAAGGAGGTGGCAGAACCTGACCAGGTGGAGGTGGACCTGGTGGACCAGGTGGGCCTGGAGGACCTAAGGGTGGACGTGGTGGAGTCTGTCCAGCTATAGAATAAAGGGGAGGGAAAAAACAAAAAACAAAAAAAAAACACATTTCAATAAAGTATTTTAACCTTCATGCCAAGATTATACTTTTAAAGCATAACTCATAGACCAATATTCTTTCTTGTTAAATAAAACCCATATGGTAAATGCTACACTAACAATTACAAAGATAAAGTATATCCTTACAAATTTAACTTCCTCAATTTATGCTTAAGAAAAATTATTGAAACAAAAACTTTACTAAAGACAATTATACTTAGCGATAGTTTCCATCTTTCAGCATACACACATTTCTTACAGTGAAATCACCCACCTTATATTCTACTCTGATGCCAAGCTAGAAAGTGAAATAAGGAAAAATTGTCTTGAAAGAATTTTTTAAGAGGTAAGAAAATAAGACGGATGTAAATATTCTATATATAAGTCAAGCAAGTTTGGAGAAAAATAAAGACCTTTTAGGCCAAAAATGGGTATTTCCTCTATGCTGTGCCCCATATGCCATGGAATCCTAGTTTCCAGGAACAAAGGCCGAGTTCCTTTAACAAGATGCTTGATCAAATTTCCTGGATTCCAAAAATAGCATAACAAGGAGAGTAAGTCACATCAATAATGCATTACTTGAAAAGAGAGAAAAGGAAAAGAGGTATTAGATAGACACATTTTATCCATGGTAATTTTAAGAAAAAATTTACCTGGAAAAGGTGGGGGTGGCCCTCCTGGTCCTGCTGGCCCAGGAAATCTGTCCCCACCGGGAACAGCCCCTGGAAAACGGCCCCGTCCTCTACCACCTTGTGGAAATGCTGCACGTGAACTGCCTCCTGGAGGACCAGCTTTACCTTCCCCAGACATTTGTCCTGATTGTGTAGCTGCAAATATCCAAATACTCATAAATAGCATTTATTAAAATAGTTCTCTGAAATGTAACCATTATTATTAGAAACAACCACATTTCAAAGATCATTTATACTATACACTAACTTGCAGATGCCTTGGCCCTTTCCAAACTACTTGAGAAGTATTGATTAGGAAAACATTCACATTTATTTGCGTTCTTTTGAAGTCTCAAAATATCCAGGCACATATGTATTTCCAATGAATAAGTATGAGTTACTTTCAAAATACAGTACTCTCTGCAGCAGCCAAGACCAAATTCTCCAACAGAAATCCAAATTTCACTAAGCATAAATCATTTAAATTTTGTAACATATTCTTGTTAATTAAGCCTTAAGCGCTAAAACATTAAAAAAATACCAACCACTTGAATTTCTGTTTAATACATGATCATCCATCTTATCTCTTTAAGTGATAGCATTCATAAGTGGGCAATGGCAAATCTTTTCTATAGTCACTTTACCAAGTGGTGAAAGGTCTTGGTGCCAAGCAGAAATCAACGAATATTTTCTGGTTATCAGTGGTTTCTCCACCACCATAACACACATCCACATAAGTTTCCTTCAATCTAAGGATTAGAATGTAGTTCTTCCTTTCTCTAGGAGGGGAATGACAGGACAAGAATGGCAGGGCTACAGAACTTGCACACTGTTGAATAATAATGGGTTTGTGACACCTAGAGAAAAATGGGAGTAGGTTTCCAGCATACAGGATCACAGTCATAACCAGTAATTAAATCAAATGCAAAGCATGGACTTCCTAAAATGGATTCTCCAACAAACTAAATATTAAGGTGACTTTTCTAGTATAATATCTAATAAATGCTAGCAAAATTGATTAAAATACACATCTTTCAATAAAAGCCTCAGAGGAATTGCTTACTTTTCCTGGACTGCATTTCAAACTGACTCAGGAACTGTTTATTGCATGGAGTTACAACAGGATTCTGACCATGAAGTTCTCTTTTAGGCAACAGATCCATTAACTTTTTTGAGGATGCTTCAGATCCAACACCAACAAGGGCAAACCTAAAAGATGTTTAAGGGGATGGGAATAGAAAGCGAGTAGAGATTAATAATGTTACTATTATTAAAAAGAAAATAGCCTGAATTCAATTTTATCTAAGAAAACAAAATACTTAAATTAAAACTATACAAGTTCATACTTTCATCTTTAACTTTTTAAATAACATGTACAATTCACTCATTTAATGTACAGTTCAGTGATTTTTAGTACATTCCCAGTTTTTCAACCATCACCACAATCAGTTTTAAAACATTTCACCACACCAACATAAAGCCTCATTCCCATTTCCTTTCATCCCCCAACCCTAAGCAACCACTAATCCACTTTGACTTTATGGATTTGCCTATTTTGGACATTTCATATAAATGGAACCATACAATATGTAGTCCTTTGTGACTGGCTTCCTTCCCTTAGCATGCTTTCAAGGTTTATGCATGCTATAAGTATGTTTCTGTACTTAATTTCTTTTTATGGCTGAATAATATTCCATTATATGAATACTACACATTTTAAAAATCCATTCATTGATGGACATTTGAGTTGTTTCCAATTTTTGGTTATTATGAATAATGCCAGTACGAAAAGATGTTCAACATCATTAACTATCAGGGAAATGTAAATCAAAACTACAATAAGATACCATTTCACACCCACTAGGGTAGCTTCTTTTTAAAAAATATATTTTTATTGATTTCAGAAAGGAGAGGGAAAGAGAGCTAGAAACATCAATGATGAGAGAGAACCATTGATTGGCAGCCTCCTGTACGCCCCACACCAGATCAAGCCCCGCAACCCAGGCATGTGCCCTGATTGAGATCGAACCACGACCTTCTGGTTCATAGGTTGACGCTCAATCACTGAGCCATACCAGCTGGGCCACACTAGAGTACCTTTAATAAAAAAGACAAGTCTTGGTGAGGATGAGAAACTGAAACCTTCATACACTGCTGATGGTAATGTAATATGGCACAGCCACTTTGACAATCAGGCAGTTTCTCAAAAAATTAAATACAGAGTTAACAAATAAAAGGCTAATATGCAAATAGACCGAACAGCAGAACAAACCGAACAACCTAACAACTGGTTGCTATGGCATGCGCTGACTACCCGGAGCACGCAGGGAACATGGCGGATGTCGGCCCAGCGGGGTTGGTGAAGCAGGTGAGCAGGGATGCCAGACCAAGGCAGGGCACTGGTCGCTGTCATCGGGGCGAGCCTCTAGTGGTTACTGAAAATTCTTTGCTCCCACACACTGTGGTCCTGCCTGGGGCTTGCACCCACTGCTGGCACCAGAACCACTGCTTACACCCACTGCCAGTGCCCGGCGCCAGTTCCGATCACTCAGTGCTATCAGCAGGTGTGAGCGGTGGCTGCCGGCCCCTATCGCACCTGAGGGCTTCTCCACCTCCCCCTGCTCCTGAGGGGCGATTGGAGCAGCAGCCGCCACTTGCACCCACTGACAGTGCCAGCCTTGCTTGCACCCACTGCTGGCGCTGACCCCGATCGCTCTGCGCTGTCAGCGGGTGTGAGTGGGGCTGTCGGTGGGTGTGAGTGGGGCCGGCACTGTCAGTGTGTCGAGTGCGGGAGCGGGGCTGCTGGCAGACACGGGACCAGGGTCCGCGGCGGGAGGGGCTGGGCTGACACCTGCCCCTGTGTCCAACACAGCCTCGTGGCCCACAGTTCCTTTCAAGGTGCATGAATTCATGCACTGGGCCCCTGGTATATGTATATGTTGAAGAATTGAAAATCTATGTTCACACAAAGCTGGCACATGAATATTCATAGGGGCATTATTCACAATTAGCAAAAGCAGAAACAACCCCAATGTCCATCAAGTAAATAAAGAGGGTACATCCATATAATGAAATACGTAGCCACGAAAATAATTAAGTACAGATACATGCTACACCATGAATGAACCTTGAAAGCCTCTGCTAAGTGAAAGAAGTCAGTCACATGGGACCACTTATTGTATGATTCCATTTATATGGAATGTTCAGAATAAGCCAATCCATAAAGATAGATTGCTAATGGGTATGAGATTCCTTTCTGGGGTGATGAAATGTTCTGGAATAAAACAGTGGTAATAGTTGAACAACTTTGTAAATATACTAAAAAACCACTGAAGATTTTAAAAGTGGATTTTTGGTATGTGAATTACACCGCAGTTAAAAAAAAAATACATTTAAAACAAAAAAAGATTAACAGTTTTGCACAGCTATAGGATATTTTAAATTATCAGGACTCTCAGGAGCTTGGAACCCTTTTCTCCCTAATGTTCAAAATGGTTGTTAACTAGAACCCCTATTCCAGTTTTTTTTGTTGTTGTTGTTGTCAAAAATTCTGTTGTGAGTCAAGATTAAATTTAGCAACAATTTAATGAATTCATTAATTTAACATGTATTTAGTGAGCAATACACCAACTCCTACATGCCAGGCACCATACTAAGGCTAAGGATACAATAGTTGACCAAAACAAAGTCTCTGCTTGCATGAATCTTATACTGTGGTGGGAGACAGGGTAATAAACAAGTAAAAATACAATAGTGACAGAAAATATAAAGACAGGAAACAGTGATGGAAATAGAAGGTGCTATTTTGCACCAAGATGGTTGGGAAGGGAACTCTTTTAAAAGAGAGTTCTGAAGGAAATGAGATCCATATGAACATTGCAGGAAAAAGTAAACCAGAAGAGGAATCACATGTATAAGGTCCTACGTAGGAATGTATTTGAGGAACAACAAACAAACTACTATGGCTGAAACAGCATAAGGAAGCAAAGAATGGTTAAGAGAGAATGTCAGAGAGGTTGTGGGAAAACAGATCACATAGCATTTGTAGGCCATAGTAAAGATTCTGGCTTTCACTGTGAGATAGAAGCTATTAGAAGATTCTGAGTAGACTAATACTGGTGCCACTTTTTTCCAACTTCTATGTGCATACACTTTAGGAGATTAGGGTGAAAGCAGGAACACCTAATAGGCGGCTACTGCAAAAGTTCAGAAGGTAGTTTTACATAAAACGATTCCTGCTGTAATATAGGTATAATAGGCAAAAACTGGAAACAACCGAAATAACCAAAAATAATAATGGTAAAATAAATTACAGAAGCATACAAGGTATGGAAAGAATTAGACATTAGAAGAGAATATGTACTTATTGATAATGCTTGTTTTATTCCTTGTATCAAACACGTTATAAAACACATGAATTGTAATCTAGGTTTTTTTTTGCAATAAAAGCATGAAGTGCTATGACGAAACCTGAAACTATATTCACTAAAATGTTAAGAGTGATAATCTATGGATGGTTAGATTATGGCTTTCTTTAAATTTTGAATATGTGTTGTATAATGTTTCTATCTCATGTGTATAATTTAACAGTTTAAAAAAATAAAGCAAGGAGGAGGCAAGATGGCGGCATAGGTAAACACCGGAGACTGCTGCCGCAAACAACCACTTCAAAAATACAACTAAAAGACAAAACGGACATCACCCAGAACCACAGGAAGGCTGCCTGAGGAGAGACTCTTCAACTATAAGAAAAAACAATAGCATACCGAGGCTCAGAGGAGGCGCAGTGTGGAAAATACTCAGGTGCGGGGGTGCGCGCGCAAAGCGGGCTGGTGGCTGAGGGCGCGGTAGTCGTTTTCAATCAGGAGGGAGTCTCAGACTCTGAGCTCCAGATACGGGCGAGTCTCTAGGGACTCAGACTCAAACGGGAGAAGCGGGATTGTCTGGCATCAGTTGGAAGGCAGCTTTCTCTCCGAGGTTTGCAGCGGTTCCTGGGGTTCTGAGAAGCAGAGCCTCTGGGAACGGGACTGAGGGCAGCCATAACCGCTCCCTCCGCCCGCCCTGCCCTGTTGATCCCGCCCCGCCCAAGCCCTGCGCAGAGCCATTTGCCGGATCGCCTCAGGCAAAGGCTAGATTAGCACCTCCCCAGAGGACAGAAGTTTTCCGCGGCAGACACAGCTGATTCACACAGCCAGTCGGCCTGGTGGTCAAATCCCTCTAGTATTAACTACAACAATCAAGGCTCAACTAGAACAAGACTGCGCACAAAGACCACTAGAGGGTGCACCAAGAAAGCATAAAAAATGCGGAGACAAAAAAACATGACAGAAATGGACGATATAGAGCTAAAAAACGCAATTTTGAGGGCTTGCAAAAATGTGCTAGAAGCTGTCAATAAACTTGAGGAGAGAGTCACGAAAACTAATGAGACCCTCGATGCTATGATAAAGAAACAACTAGAAATTAAGCATACACGGTCGGAAATAAAGAATATTACACCCAATAGCAGACCAGAGGAGCGCAAGAATCAAGCCAAAGATTTGAAATGCGAAGAAGCAAAAAACACCCAACCGGAAAAGCAAAATGAAAAAAGAATCCGAAAATACGAAGATAGTGTAAGGAGCCTCTGGGACAGCTTCAAGCGTACAAACATCAGAATAATAGGGGTGCCAGAAGATGAGAGACAGCAAGATATTGAAAACCTATTTGAAGAAATAATGGCAGAAAACTTCCCCCACCTGGTGAAAGAAATGGACTTACAGGTCCAAGAAGCGCAGAGAACCCCAAACAAAAGGAATCCAAAGAGGACCACACCAAGACACATCATAATTAAAATGCCAAGAGCAAAAGACAAAGAGAGAATCTTAAAAGCAGCAAGAGAAAGAGACTCAATTACCTACAAGGGAATACCCATACGACTGTCAGCTGATTTCTCAACAGAAACTTTGCAGGCCAGAAGGGAATGGCAAGAAATATTCAAAGTGCTGAATACCAAGAACCTACAACCAAGAATACTTTATCCAGCAAAGCTATCATTCAGAATTGAAGGTCAGATAAAGAGCTTCACAGATAAGGAAAAGCTAAAGGAGTTCATCACCACTAAACCAGTATTATACGAAATGCTGAAAGGTATCCTTTAAGAAGAGGAAGAAGAAAAAGGTAAAGATACAAATTGTGAACAACAAACATGCATCTATCAACAAGTGAATCTAAGAATCAAGTGAATAAATAATCTGATGTACAGAATGAACTGGTGATTATAATGAATCAGGGACATAGAAAGGGAATGGACTGACTATTCTTGGGGGGGAAAGGGGAATGGGAGATGCGGGAAGAAACTGGACAAAAATCGTGCACCTATGGATGAGGACAGTGGGTGGGGAGTGAGGGCGGAGGGTGGGGTGGGAACTGGGAGGAGGGGAGTTATGGGGGAAAAAAAAAAGAGGAACAAATGTAATCTGAACAATAAAGATTTAAAAAATAAAAAAAAATAAAAAAAGAAATGTAATAGTATTTTAAAATGGGGGGAGGGGGGGGGGGGAGGGGGGGGGGGGGGGGGGGCGGGAACTGGGAGGAGGGGAGTTAGGGGGGGGGAAAAAAGAGGAACAAATGTAATCTGAACAATAAAGATTTAATAAAAAAATAAAAAATAAAAATAAAAATAAAAAGCACAACTAGAAAAAAAAAAAAAAGCAAAAAACATCCAAGTTACACTTACTCTCATGTTGCCCCTCTTCCCCGACCCTTTAATCCAGGGGTCCTCAAACTTGTTAAACAGGGGGCCAGTTCACTGTCCCTCAGACCGTTGGAGGGCCAGACTATAGTTTAAAAAAAAACTATGGACAAATTCCTATGCACACTGCACATATCTTATTTTGAAGTAAAAAAACAAAACGGGAACAAATACAATATTTGTATTTGCATGTGGCCCGCGGGCCATAGTTTGAGGACCCCTGCTTTAATCCCAGGGATAATAACGTTTCTTGAAACTATCATCTCAATAATAATTTCAATCATTGATGGAGAAAACTCAGGAAAATTAAAGAATAGACACAATCTGTCCACACTTGCAGCTCCACTAGTTTTAGTGAGCTATATCACAGGACAAATGGAGTACAAATCTTTGCCAAGAACCTCCTGCCAATGTGGATAACACAGCATCCTACACATGTGAATAGAAAGCATTAACTTGAAGAAAATTTAACACCAAAAATACTAACTTATTTTAGGGGAAAAACATCTTACCCCTTTGATTGGCCATTTGCCCGGTTTTCCAAAAACTTTATCTCCAAAATATCATTTACTCCCAAAGAATGCACTGCTTCAGTTAAGTCTTCATCTGTTGTCCACTGCAAGACATTTCCCTCTCGTTAACCATTAAAACATATCCAAGATTTTTATTGCTTCAATTTTTTAAGGGTAAACTCACAATAAAGAAAATTAATGCTCAGTTCAAATCTAAGTGCAGTTGTTGCAAATTAGTCTTCAATTTTTAAATAGCACAAAAGTACCTGAGGGCAAAATGCATTCCTTGATAATTTTCAGAAATTAGAAGATACATATCTTTAGAGATAGGATAGTGGGGGTTGTTTTATCTTAAAACGTTTCTGGTCTCTTCCAACATTAAACTGCAAAGATTTAATATTTTTAAATAAAACTAGTATCACTCGTCACTTCCTCTCCTAAAGGCAACCATTTGGGGAAATAAATTCCGTTTAAAAATATAGCCCTAACTGGTTTGGCTCAGTGGATAGAGCGTCGGCCTGCGGACTGAAAGGTCCCAGCTTCGATTGCGGTCAAGGGCATGTACCTTGGTTGCGGGCACATCCCCAGTGGGGGGTGTGCAGGAGGCAGCTGATCGATGTTTCTCTCTCATCAATGTTTCTAACTCTCTATCCCTCTCCCTTTCTCTCTGTAAAAAGTCAATAAAAAAAAGAAATATATATATGTATATGATAAAAAGAAAAAAATAACATGTACTGAGTACCTACCATGTACTTTATATCAAATATTTAACTCTTCAACAGTCTTATAAGTCCTATTATTATTCCCATTTCACATACTATGAAAGAGAAGTTAACGAGCTTGCCTAATATCACAAAACTAATAAATGGAGTACAGATTCAAAGATGTAATTATCAACCACTCTCCATTACTGTACTGTTACTGTCTCCAATATTATAAAACTTCTCAGATTGGGTGGTAGAAGATTAATCAATTCGTGTGTGTTTTAATATAAATATTTTATTTTAAAAGAAAATGCTATTAAGGAAGTTGAAGAGTGACAAGTATTTTTTTTAAATTGAATTTATTGGGGTGATATTGGTTAATAAAATTATACAGGTTTCAAGTGTACAATTCTGTAATACATCATCTGTATATTGCCGTGATTTTCAACCTTTTTCATCTCATAAACTACCAGAATTCAATAGCATACCAAAATATATGCTTTTTTGCTGATCTGACAAAAAAAGGGTATTTTTTTGTTCATTCACACCAGATGGCTATTGTTGTGTTGGCTGTTGCCATTTTTTTCCTTTGACAATCTAAGGGAAAAGAGGTCAGTGCACCTGACTAAATAATCAAGTACTGTATGTTTCAATATTCTTGTTGAAAATTTCTGGTATATTGTATTATGTGTTCACTATCCAAAGTCAAGTCTTCTTCTGAGGAGTGACAAGTTTTGATTTCTAGACAATTTTTTAAACTTTCCAATATGTATAATACACATTTCAAAGTAGAGATAAAAATTCTATAGACTTGCTCTAGTGCAGTGATGGCAAACCTTTTGAGCTCGGCGTGTCAGCATTTTGAAAAACCCTAACTTAACTCTGGTGCCGTGTCACATATAGAAATTTTTTGATATTTGCAACCATAGTAAAACAAAGACTTATATTTTTGATATTTATTTTATATATTTAAATGCCATTTAACAAAGAAAAATCAACCAAAAAAATGAGTTTGTGTGTCACCTCTGACACGTGTGTCATAGGATCGCCATCACTGCTCTAGTTAGTATTTAATGCTAATAAAATTATAAATAGCTACATTAAACATCCAGTTAATGAAACTCCCAACCACTAATTTTAAAGTCCCATAAATGCAAATTAAGATAGAATGTACAGATAGCAGTATTTCCATAAATAAGATTAAAAATTTAAGAGCAGCCCTGGCCGATTTGGCTCAGTGGATAGAGCATCGGCCTGCAGACCGAAGGGTCCTGGGTTAAATTCCGGTCAAGGGCATGTACCTTGATTGCAGGGCCCTCCCAGGCTGGGGCCTGGTCAGGGCTTGTACAGGAGGCAACCGATCGATGTGTTTCTCTCACATCAATATTTCTCTCTGTCTTTCCCTCTTTCTCTAAAAAATAAAAATGAAAAAAAAAATCAATGGAAAAATATCCCTGGGTGAGGATTAAAAAAAAATTGTAATAAAATAAAATAAATTGTACTTCTGTATACTAGCAACCAGCAATTAGAAATTAAACATTTAAAAAAAATTTAAGATCAGAATTGAGCATGTTCTCCCTTCCGTGAGTATTCCAGCATCTTCCCCTTCCCTCTCCTTTCCCCACACGCTACTAAACTCTACGGGACCTAAACTCTAAGAGATCCTCCCCAAGATCTACAACCAGAAGAGCAAAGGGCAGCAGCAGCTCGTCCAGGAGTAGCTCCTGAACATGTCCCCAAAGCCCCTTTTCTCTGACTTCTCAATGAACCAAAGCAGCCCAGCCTAGGTTCTCTCCTGTTGCTTCTTCTATCCTAAGCCCCTCCTTGATTCACTGTCCCCAGCTTTAATAAATGTACTCAAAATAAAAAGAGCAGAAATTAAAACTCTGCAAGTTTGTAACAGGAATTAGATAATGAAAACTTTAAAACCAGGAGTCATACTGTGTTTCTTTCTCTCTTACAGTTCTGAATCCTGGTTTGAGACCTTATGTAGACATTTTTCCTTTGTAAAATTGAGATAGCCGACATTTAGGAATAGGTAAAAATAACTGATTTGAAGACAAAATAATTGAACTATATTTAATTGGAATGTCTACCAAAATAAGTTGAACGACTACCAAATTAAAAACTAGAAGACCTGAAATTTGTTTTAAAGGTACTATTATTGTCCTCCTAATTGCATAAGCAAGCACATAGAAAAAATCAATTTAGTAACTTCAAAGTTAACTGCTAGAATAGCTCAAAATCAATTACCAATTCATATGGTAAGTTTACTTACCCATGTTAGATTTCCAATGTATAATGCAATTCTCTTTCCCGTATATGTATAGACAACATTTGGTGCTGCTCCTTTACCCACATCATCACCAACAGCTGGTGGGAGAGTATCCATGTAATCCCGGTCTTCTGGTGCATCTCCATTATTTGCGGATGGAGAGATGACATCATCATACAAATCTATCTGATCATGCCCACCATATTCAGCTTCCTGGATACAAAAATAATGTTTTTAAGTCATACAATAGTCAGACTACTACACTAAAGAGATTTGAATATAAATTCATTCAACTATTAATTTAAAAACACACACACAATTTAATTCAACTATTTGTTTTTAAAGTCTCGTAGAAGATTAAAAAAAAAAGGCCAAAAACTTTATGACACACGTTTGTTTTTTAATTTGATTATAGAAATGTTGATTTCCACTTATTTATACATTCATTGATTGCTCCTAGTACGTGTCCTGACTGGGGATTGAACACACAACCTTGGACAGTGAACTAAAGCTACCCAGCCAGGGCCAAACTTGTATTCTTAAACAGTACCTATAAAGTAAATGTCTATACAGCGAAAGCTATTTTTCCACTATTTATTATAACATGGAAAATAATGTTCCTCTGGGAAAAGAATGGCATGGACTCATAATAAAGTACTAATGTAAAACTTTCCTTGGAAGTAAAATACTCAAAGTGAAAGTAATAATACATGAATTAATACAAATAGATGAGCTTTTTTAAAAAAAATTGACACACACAAAAAAAAAAACAGAAAAAAAGAAAAGATCGACACAAAAATATCACCAACAAAAATCAGAGCCATTACAAATATTTAACTGAAGAAAAACACAACTATTATTTTTGATGGTATTCAAGATCTTTTTTTCCTAGCCCTGCGAAATCTATTAGTTTTGGGGGGAAAGTTTAGTGAGCTAAGCCATAGGGAAGGAATGATGAAACGTGGGTACGTAAATAATTCTGAAAGTTGTAACAAATGAACAAGGGAAAGATAATACGTAAAACTATACAAATTAGTGTCTAGCAATCGTTTTATTATTCTCAGTCAACAAAGAGTTAATGCTTACCTGACTTAGATTAGTCAATTAGCAAGAGAAAACGGACCTGGGAAAGCTGTGTCACTAACAGAATTAAAGCAATGCTAGTGGATGCCACTTACATGCCTAAATAAGCAAGGAAGAGGAAAACAAAAAAGAAACATATATAAAGAAGAGAAAAACGAAAAGGGAGGGTTCAATTTTAAATAAGCCCCCTGCACCCCCAATTAAGTGCGGCTATTGGCAGAACACTCAACACCATTTAAAATTGCCTTTGGTTCCCTAGCTGGTTTGGCTCAGTGGATGAGTGTCGGCCTGCGGACTGAAGGGTCCCAGGTTCAATTCCCGTCAAGGGCACATGCCTGGATCCCCAGTAGGGGACGTGCAAGAGGCAGCTGATCAATGATTCTCTCTCATCATTGATGTTTCTATCTCTCTCCCTCTCCCTTCCTCTCTGAAATCAATAAAAATATATTTAAAAAATAAAATAAAATTGCCTTTGGTAACCATCATTGGGCCACAGGCTTAACTAGCCTGTATCAGAGGAAAACTTATTTCCATCTTTCTGCCTTTCCACCAAGTACCTAAAATCAATGTGAACTATTTTATTCTTATGATGTAGAATGGTGTAAAAGTAGGTTTACAGGTGTTGTATGAAAAATACAGTAATTAATCAATACCATAAAACCTTTCACATACTCACAACTGTAAACCTATTTTTGCCACACCCTGTATTTGTGATAATAAAGAGAGGCAATCAGTTACAAAACAACAAACTCAGACATAATAACTCATATCCTCTCCCATTAATACAATTTATTAAGGATGAACTGTTATACAAATGGCACATTAAGAGGAGCAAAGTTTAGCCCTGACCGGTTTGGCTCAGTGGATAGAGCATCGGCCTGAGGACTGAAAGGTTCCAGGTTCGATTCCGGCCAAGGGCATGTACCTTGGTTGCGGGCACATCCCCAGTAGGAGGTGTGCAAGAGGCAGCTGATCGATGTTTCTCTCTCATCGATGTTTCTAACTCTCTATCCCTCTCTCTTCCTCTCTGTGAAAAATCAATAAAATATATTAAAAAAAAAAAAAAGAGGAGCAAAGTTTAGGGACTATTACATGGATAGAGAATGACCTAGAGAGCATTCATAAAATGACTGTAAACAGATTAACAAAGTACTGTTATTATAGGCCCCATAGGAACATAGCTATTACTTTGTTGTTCAGAGGAAGCTAGAGCAAAATTTTAAAAAGAGAAAAAGAAAACCTAGACAGGGAAATACCATTTATACACGTGGCCAAAGGGACCTGAAATTTGTCAAGTCGTCTTCAGGTAATCTTCTGCATGACAAAGTTAACCAATTTACCAATTCTATAACAGAATCTTTACATAACAATTTTGTTATGAGGTAGAATGTAAGACATTTAATAAGGGGCCCAAAATCTTAAGGTAGGTCAACGAACAAAGCCATCTTTAGCAATAGGCAGAAACTAAGACAAGTCAGGGAATAATGCCATAAATTTGTTTGTACAGCAACACCAAAATAATCTTTCAGAACTGAGTTTTTGTTAAAATACATGTTCAAATTGCAGTAACAGAAAAAAGGAGGGTGAATTTTGTAATGAAGTTTCAGTGTAGCTGAAGCTTCAGGTGACATGGTTGCAGCAGTGGTTCCATACACCTGAGATACTAAAAAGCTTCCCACAAGAGGTTGTGGGCACTGTAAACTCTTTTGCAATCCAGTTCTGTACTTCAAATATAATAATAGCAACAACATTAGTAGTAGTATTATACAAAGGGAGTTGTGTTTGCTCAGCAGAGACTATAATCACAATATAAGGCCTGAGAGAGAATAAGTTTATACTTTCACCAAACATGTTAACACATTACTTGATTTTTCATTGGTTGTAAATCCAGGAAAATGTTAACATAAACAAACAATTCCTTACAAGCATAATTGCAGCTACATTAATCTGGTGAATCACAACCACTTACTATTTTTGTCCTTCCATGAATTCCTACGTTGACACCAACCAATTTTCCATATTGATATAACTTCCAGTATTTTAGGACCTGCCACTTTGTCTGGTTGGACTGCTTCCAATTGGTTGAAGTATAATGCTAATTGAGACCACGGTCCTGGGGTTCGATTTCCACGTGGACTAGTTAACTTTGCTCTATTTCAAGGCCACAGCCTGACCTTCTAGCCCCAAAGGTACACATTTGGATATGGCGAAAAAATACTAATGAATCTAAATAGATTTGTCGCTCTTACCAAAATTCAGCTCAAAGCACATACTCTTTTGTAGTATTAGTAATCTTCCTTTTCAGCTTAAGTATCACACATTAAAAAAAATATATAGAACATATCCTACTTTTTAAAATATATTTCTTTATTGATTTCAGAGAGGAAGAGGGAGAGATAGAAACATCAATACTAATAAAAGAGAAACATGGTAATTGGCGTACGACCGCTACCATTCCCATTGGCTAATCAGCATATCCTTATGCAAATTAACTGTCAGCCAAGATGGCGGCCGGCAGCCAGGCAGCTGGAAGCGAACATGAGGCTTCCTTGCTTCAGTGACTGCAGACTCCAAC